ATAGAGGTAGCCGTCCTCATCGAACTTGTATGTGAATACCCACATCAGGGGTAGCACCTCTGCATCAGCAGTCTCTGCTGTTTGTGTCGTCTTGGCGAAGCAGCCTTTGCCCCAGATCTCGCGGTACTCCTTCTGCGCAGCCTGTCGAAACTGCTCTCCAAACGGATGAGATTCGAGCTCTGAATATGATCGCGGAGCTCTCGGCACTTGCGAATGATGTATTTTTGTGGTTGGCTCAACCTTCAAGGCAGTTGAGAAAGCCTTGAGGTAGTCGTCGACTGATGCTCCGTATGAGACGGCGTGAGAGTGCCATCGCTCTGGTGCCTGGAGATCAGCATTTCGTCTTGTACGCCGCGGGCCTTCGATGACGTTGTCTGTGCTGAGATCAAGGTTTCGACGTCTTGGAGCGTTGTTCTCATGTCAATCAGGTATATAGCCTTCAAGCTGGGTTGCAGAAAGATCATGAGTTTGTGATGTGTGTGGTTGTTCGTGAGCTAGTTGCTCATCAAGAGCATGTTGCTCTTGTTCTGATTCTGAGGACAGAGAATTGGTTCGTCTGTCTTGTTAATCGTGGATTGAAGTTTCTGGAGTCAGCAATCCTCCGTTGTTCTGCTCCTTATTCTGTTCTGTCACTTCACCCCCCATCTGAGGCTCCGTGAGCGCAGATGTGTGAGCAGGCTGCTGTTGACGGCGTTGTCGAGTTGTTAAAAGATCTTCTATTGCTATATCGTCAGGCTTAAGCTCCTCAGGAAATGCTAGAAGCTCAACGACTTCTGCAATTACTGATTCTTAAGCGTAGCCTTGTAGTCCTTTGTAGAACTTTGTAGGTTCAAAAACGACGTCTCGAGTGCGTATGACCTAGTCCTTAGTAGGTAGCTAGATTCTGAATATGTTGGTAGAGTTGTAGCCAACAAGGTGGCCAATTAGTGCTCTCGATTCAAGCTTGTCCGCGCGCTTCAGCGAGCGGTTGAGTACGTAGGCTCGACATCCAATTGGACGCATGTGTTGAACCTTTGGTTTCGTCTTCCAAACTATTTCGTATGGCGTTTTCCATTGTAGTGCTTCTGTTGGCGTACGATTCAGCACGTATGCTGCTGTTCGAATCAGCTCATGAGCCAAAGACTTTGGCAGTCCTGCTTGGATCCTCATGGCTCTAGCTCGGATGACAAGGAGCGATCCCGCTCGCTCTGCCAGTCCATTCTGCTCCTCGGTATACTCGGCTCGTGGCTCGTATCGAATACCCAGGTCTTTGCAGAGTTCCTGTAGGAAGTTTGGTGATGTGCCATATCCACAGTCGTTGTCTGTCTTAACAGCTGTTACGTCGCAGTCAAACACTTGCTGTATGCTGCGTACGTCTTGAACCAACCATCAACTCAGGAACAGTTTTAATCACTGTAGGAAGGTTGACACTTTGTGCTATTTTAAGTATTAATTAACAGAGTGTCCAGCCTATTAATCGCCATTCAAGCAGGCTTCTCCTTGAGGTATTAATTAGATAATGTCAACAGAGATTTAATAGAAGGGCCTCTAAGCTTAGTCTTCCTGTTGTCTTTGAGATATCTGCTTTGTTAACTTTAACTCTGTACAGACAGTACAGAATTTGTTATTATTGCCTTCTACAACAACTCCATCAACGTTTAAGGTAAGCTTTTCAATTGCTTTCTTGCTAGGATGACCCCACATCTGATAGGCTGTCCTAGCATCAACTGTTTGATTAAGGCGTGGAGCCTTTAAAGGTTAGTAGGTTGTGCTGAAAGACGACAGCAAAGTCTGGCTTGGACGACGTGAGGCATCAGCGTCCACCAGCCAGTGCCCTCCATCGTGCTCCAAGTAGGCAAGAACTGATCCTGGATTGCCCTTGTACAGGAGATCACGTCCTGAATCAAAGTGTATATTAAGCTTCCTGCAGCGCGCCAAGCCAATCAGGCTTGTAACAAAGCCTTGGACGTAAGCAACGTGAGTGAGCTTCAGTGGTCGTACACCTGTTGGTGTATTTGCCATAAGCTCCATGCTTCCCCAGGCTGTTATCTGAACACGTCCTGTTCCAGCTCCAACAAAGTCAGTAGCAGCTGCGTCGTACTCTCTTGTCCATCCCTTCCAGTTCTCAGTGTTGATTACATGAGTGTTAGAGCCAGGGTCAAGGATCCATCGGTTGCTAAGCTTGCCAATATCCTCTTCCATGCTCACTGCTGTGTAGAGGTTGTCTTTCTTTTTCATGTTGTTGCAAGCTTTTGTGTTAACTTGCTTGTTGTTCTGAGCATATAGCTCTTGCTTGTAATTCATATATCGTACAGTGTTAGCTGTATGTCTGGTGGGACGGTTGCCGTCGTCTATGGCAATACTCCCTCTATTCTCTTGCTGTTTTGCGCGCCACTTATTGAGCGCCTTGTCGAGCTTGTCTCTCAAGTCGTTGTCAGCGGCCAGGGCGGCATCAAGCTTCTTTTGGCCAATTGCGTTGGCAAAAGCCTTGGGTCTTCGTGGATGCTCTGTGTTGATCAACCAGCAGTCAACCCAGTAATGTTTCAGGCCACATGGGCATTGAGGCTTGGCCTTGCTGCCGTTCTTGTTGCCATCCTTATTCTGCTGCTGAGGCTTCGCCGCGTCGAGCTCCGCAGCCATTGAGCTGAGTCCTGTCGACAGCGGTAGCACACGCTTGAGGTAAGTGGTGAACTTGCTGACGTAGTCCTCCACTGATGGGATAGCAGTGCCAGCGTCCTCTAGGTCGATCAAGGCTCGCAGGCCTGATGTACCATACTCGGGATCGATCGTCCTGCAGGCGACTAGGAAATCTTCCTGTGCCCGAGAACCCATTGTTTCTGGAACCTCTGCGGCGATGCACATATTAGTGATCTCCACCCAAGAGCGTAGCCACTCCTCAACCCTCTTGCCGCGAGGCGGCGTCTGAAGGGCTTTGTATCGTGCGATAAGATCGCGTTGTCGTGTCGCGTCAGATGGTGCAAGGTGCTTCTTCAGCGTTGTCAACCGCTCGTATGGCGTGTCCTTGCTCTCAATCAAGTAAAGGTGCTTTGCAGCAATCGTCTTGCTGATCTCAGAGTTGAACTCAGCAAGAGCCTTCTTCTGACGCCTGAACTCAATGTCCTTGCGCTCCCATCGCTCGTACTCCCATTGGTACAGCTTCTGCTGCGCGGCAGTAAGATGAGCAAGTGACGTAGCATCGTTGTTGTGATCCGTCAATTGAGGTTCAATTGGTGCCATTAACGTAGGCAAGACCGCTGCCTTCGTGGCAGGGTCAACGTACTGCCAGAGCTCGTTCTTCTGCGCAGTATCTTTTCGTATGAACAGCCACTTGTGCCAGTCGTCAGCTCGATCGAGGACAACTGTCACTCGGGTGACCGCAGGGTCTGACTCAGTAGTCATTGTAAGTTGCTCCGCACAGTATGATCAATCGTGATCTCAATCGTGGGTGCTAATTAGTAGGTCGGCGGCTCCGTACAGTATGATCAATTGTTGATCTCAATCGTAGGTGCCTATCAGTGGGTCGGCGGCTCCGTACAGTATGATCAATTGTTGATCTCGATCGTAGGTGCCAATCAGTTGTTGTGAGTGAGCGAGCTATCTAGTCGCAATCCGGGCTCATAACTGTTGCGGTATGAAGAGCAAAATGCATATAATGAGTGTATTCTATGTTGTTCTTGTCGTTGTGTCTATGTTCTCCAAGGCTCGCTGCGGGGTTTTTTTTGATGACGTCTTTGTAACGCAGCCAAGGTAAGAGGTGCTCAACAACATGAGGAAGTAACACCAGACCACCACCAACAACACGTGATCCGCTTCTCCTCTCAACCGTTACATAACGCCTCGCCAATCCGAGGACGGCCTTGCAACCAAACACCTTCCTCTTTCGTCACAGACACCACTATATGACCCTCCACGTACAGACCACGAAGCTACTACGGTGTCTAGTAATCCTGAATCCCACAACGATCCTCGCGGCTTCAAGAATGCCTCTACTGCTTCCATCGCTTCCGCTTCCACACTCGCTTCAACTCACACTTTATTACCTCCAGCACACTGACCTCTCCGACCGAAAGTTCACCACTTTTATTTGTGCTGCCCAAGACTGGCACTCCTTCGCCGAGAAATTCTACAACTGCATCACAACCCAACGCGAAGAGACAGTAGCCGACAGTGTCAAGAAGTGCATCTCCAAGGGTATCCCCCTGCGACGCTGCATCGCAATCGTGCCTTTTCTTAGATCTTCTTTGCCTGTCTACGCACAAGCTTGATACCTGCTGCGCGTACTTTCGCCATTAGCATCTTCTACATGTTCCTGCTTATCCGGCGCCTAGCCGCTGCTCTTTGTAAACACCCATAAATGTGCTAGAGGCGACGATACGCAAAGACTTGGAGCACGCTGGAGTGTGCTGTCTCGCAGAAATATGTAGTCAGGGAGCGTAGAGACTTCGCGCCTTCGGAGTATATAGTCCGTTGGTTTCGGACAGATGCGGGTGAAGCAAGTGTGCGAATGCGAATCAAATGGATACAAGTTCTTTCAGGGATGGTTGGTGCAAGTCGCCGGATTGTTGAATTGAAACGTGACTCCGCTTCAGGATTTGAGGCGCCGTGGGTGCTTTTTGAGCTGTCTATAATCAGGCAGCTAATTTTGTCTGTGAATCCACTGGCCCAGAGAATTGAACATTGTAAAAAAACGAACTATGAAGCGTAGGTCGTGAAGCAGGACACAAGGAAAGCGTTTCTTATTTGTCATATTTATACTTGGTTTGCATGAGGATCTCGAGGACAGCTGTATGATTTGGACCACGCATACGAGGGCCATTGGAATATCATTCGAGTACTTGTTGCTCTCGTGTTCTGGTACCTCAGCTTCTGTAATGTGCCATGACAGTGCTATGACCGGTCAGACCAATGAAAAGCTTCTTCCCACCTCGAATGTAATGTCGCAATTGTCGTGAAGCTTCTCGGCGGAGCGTGGAAGGATTAAGCGAAAACAATCGAGCACCTCATCTTTCTCTCCCCGGTGACGTAGACCAAGAAATAGAATCCGTTCTAATTGTCGAGAAAGTGATACAAGCCAAAGTGTGTACATCGCAATCTTCCGGCAACATCCCGTGGGACAGTATGAATTGGTAAAGTCAAGTTCAATTGACTGTAGATTTCGGATAGATTGCATGGCGATGGATAGTTGTTCGTGGTTATCGTGACGCTGCATGTCCAGTTTACGATGGGTGATTTCAAACCTCTCTTAAGGACCCGCCCGGTCGTACCAGCCGAAATACTTCGGATTATCGGTAGGGTTGTTAGCGTCCCAAAAATCCTATTCGCCACGGGAATGGCTCGGACGGTGTAGGTGGGAGTACTCTGGCAGCAATAGTCACGGAGTCATGGAGTGGCGCTTGCGCCGCCTCTGCGCTGGTAAGCGCTGAACTGTTCGTCATGCTCCTCGCAGGCGCTGGAGTTGTCAGCAAGTGCTTTATACTACGTGTCATCAAGAGCTTACAACTTGATCTGCAATCAAGTGGGAAAGGTTTTGCGGTGGTTGAGAGTCAACGATGGTTTGAGGGAGAAAAGAAGCTGCAGTGCCGCGCGCGGTGGGTGAGGTGAAGGTGCCTTCCTAGCATTGCGAAACGCTAACGGAGAATGCGATGATTTATTCCAAAGCTGTCGCGGTAGATATGGATCAGGTAATGACTAGATAGATTGACTGTTGATCTCGACACTATAGATATAAATAAAGAGGCAGAAGACATTAGAATAGCTTGATCCAAGCTAAGGACTACGCTAAAAAGAGATTATTTATGTATATACACTCTGTATTATCTTCTAATCCTATTTGCCAGAGTAATTCAAATACTGCCATCTGGATCAAGTCTATCTGACCAATTCTTTCACGAACGCTGTGCGCCTGCAGTGAAGCGTGAAAGCAATCATCTAAAGCATATTCTAAACTCGTGAAGGACTGCTTCACCTTCCAGTTTGCCATCTTTTCCTGCTACATTCAAACCAGTGGAGGCACTCAGCCACTCCATATTGACTATCCGATGCTCATTACGGATCCTGTATCTTCCACTGCTCCCACAGGTCTCCCCGTACATCAAACGTGACCTTGTGTCGCTCAATGAACTCCTCGACAGAGACTCTGGGTACCAGGAAGGGCTCATCTTGCGGCCGAACGAATGTAGTCCTCCTGCTGCAGCACCTCACAAGGTCGGTCTTTTCCTGCTCATCTCGCACCCCAACGCTTCAGATCCCCTGCATTCGCGCTGGCGAACCGCCGATCGGGCTGAATGCAGTAGTAAAGTCGAAGTCGATTGCCTTCAAGGCTTCCATGCTTCGCATGTGGGAGAGCATTTTCACGTTGACAAGCGAGGTAGAAGGAGCTTTTCAGTGCAATCAGAGTGCGGGGCGGAAGCCGAGCGTGTTGGAATTCATCGTCCAGGTGAGCGTGCAGTAAAGATGACACGGTCAGCATGTCAATGAATCTAAAGTAGCGGACATACTATGCGTCCGACCGAGGGAACAATGCCGGCGCCGTGTCCCCATTGACCCTCTCCCTCTCTTGAACAAAAATCAACTCGCGCGTCGCAGCAACTCAAGGAGGAGATCGTGATGCACGGCCAACGTGCAGTGCGGTCGTATTGTATGTACATGTACTCCAATGTGTTTCTAGAAACCGGCGACATGTTATTCGAAATCTTCTCATCCACTACGCAAACAACCGTGGAAACAACACCTTCGCAACATCCTCCCCGCTTCCCTCCCTCCCAGCCACAAAACGCTCTACAGCAGCAACCGGCGCATTCGGCAAATCGCTCCCGAAAAGCAACCGTCCCGGCCCAGCAATCCTCCCAGCAGCCTCAACCTGCGCCTCCCCACAAAGCGCCGTGTCAAAGTAAAATCGTCGCACATCCTCCCTCACCACCTCCGCACCCGTCCCACCCAGCACAGCAACCCTCTCCACAACACTCGCTAGCGTCCCACCCCCATGGCTAAGAATGACCTTGCACGCCCCCGCACGCTCCCTCAGCGTGCCGCTCACCACGAGATCCATAGCGGAGCGCGCCGTCTCGTGCGCAAAATCTAGCATCGTGACCGGCAGCGCTTGGCTCGCGGGGAGTAGGTTGGGGGTGTAGGTCGGATGCACAAGCACGACAGCGCGGCGGCGATTGAGTGCGTCCCAGACCGGCGCAAACGCCGAGTCGCCGAGGTACGAAACCCGAGGCGCGCTGCCGGTGCTGACGCCAGGGACCGGCGGGGAGGAGTACGATGTGAATAGCACAACGCCGTCGGCGCGCAGGACGTCGAGTGCGTGTTCTATTTCCGCGAGGCAGGCGGGCGTGTCGTGCAGCGAGGGCAGGCTGGCGAAGAATCCGTAGCGCTGCGGCTGTTGGTTGCGGAGGTCGGCGCAGTAGGTGTTGAATTGGCGCGCCAGCGCCGCAGCCTTGGTAGGGTCAGGTTCGATCTCGGGGCCGGGCGCGGTGTGGCTGAGGATTGCGGCTGTGATGCCGAACTTGTCGCAGAGGGTGCGAGAGTCGGAGATGTTGAAGTTGGGAACATTACAGCCGCAGCCTGCGCGGTCCATGGCTGGAAGGTGGTTAGCAGAGATTCGAGCTGTAAGAAGGGGACATGTAGAAAGGGGGGCGACAACCTTGTGTGAAGAATGGGGACTGCACATGGTGGTGGACGTCGATTCTGGACATGGTTCGGTTGGGTGCGTAGTAAGGACGATGGCCAGAGATCAGTGAATGCGATGATGGAACGAGTGGAGTGGGGCAAGTAAACTTGAAGCTTGCTCACACCGAGTATCTGTGTATACTTAAATACTCGACCCTATTTGTTAGTGTCCACGGGATCGGCCCGCCAGCGGTCGGCATTTGAATGTTCGGATAAGGGCGACCGTCATTGTTCGTACGGCCGAACCCACATCAACCTTGAAACTGTGCCCTACAACGTCGAGTCGAATCCTTGTACGCTGAATCCAATGCGTGTGCTCAATCTTACAAATCAGCCATGGTCTCATCCATATCCTGGCCCCCAAATTCGTCTTCCTTGATCCCCTCACCGAACTCATCGGCTTCATCCATGTGCTCAATCGCCGCTCTCCCTTCAAGTGCGCGCAAAGCCGTATAGTCTGTGCCACTGATACCAAGCTCACCCTTTTTCTTCTGATGCGCGGCTAATTCCTCGGGTCCCCAGCTCGAGTAACCCTCCGCTTGTTGTCTGCTGAGTGGCACACTCATGTCGCGCAAGAACTGCTTCGCGGTGCTGACTGCCTGATCAACAGATAGCTTTGTCGATTTCGTGTCGAGGCCTTGCTGGATCCATTTCGGCAGCTGCGTGATCTTCTTGTTAAACCGCTTGTCAGCTAGCACCATGATACCATAGTCATCTTTGCCACGGATGACACGCCCAAGACATTGCGCTGCGTGACGCATGGCGTCAAAGGACAGGAAGTCTTGCTCTTTGATGCGGTATGTCTCACGTAGGAACTCGAGGCGCGCTTTCAGGATACGGGACTCGGTGTACTGGAAGGGCACACCCATGCACAGCACAGTGCGGCCGTAGTGGTGGTCAAAATCGATGCCTTCAGAGACCTTGCCACGGGCGACACAAAGGAGGACTGCGCCACGACCGTTATTGCATGCTGTGCGGAAAGTCTCGAGGGCAAGTGCTGTTTCCTGCGCATCGGGTGTCTCGACAAGAATGAGCTTGTACTTCCATACTGTGTCCAGGATCTCCATGCCCTGCCAGGCCGAGATGATGTGCTCCATGTAGAGATAGGATGGGAAGAAGACAACAACGCCGTCGGGTGTGAGTTTGCAGAACTCGATGAGTAAGTTACCAAAGTTGCGCTGCACTTGAATGTCGCCGCGATGTTCGAAGCCAGATGTGATCTGGTTCTGATCGCTGCCACGGTCGACAATCATGGGCAGGAAAGACTTGCGGGTGAGTGTCATGGTGAATGACTCTTGAACAACGGTGTTGAAATTCAGCATTCTGGGATACATGTCCAGAGGGGACATTGTACCGGAAGTGACGATAACGGAGTAGAAGCGCTCGAAAACTGGCTTGATGGCGATGGCAGCGTCGAGGCAGGTCAGATGAAGTACAGGATTTGGTACCTGGGCGGTCGCAGACTCAAAGGGTTCGATGATGAGCAAGAAGCCAGTCTCGTAGGTTGCGATGAGGGTAGCAAACGTCGCGACATCTTGCAGGGGCTGGTAGTCTTCGATATTGGTGAGCTCGAGTGTGCGCACAAGCGATGTGAGTCGCTCGGCGCAGAAGCGGAGGGGTTTGCGCTCGATGAATGAGGCATTTTTGAGCGATTCAAGGAAGGAAGGCGGTGTTTCGGAGATGACTTGCACGACACGCATTCGAATTTTGAGGTACTCGATGAAGCGCTTGAGGAACGCGACAAAGTGCTCTGCGCGCCGAATGTTACCTGGCACCGCTTCGGTGAGAAGATCGTCTGGTAATGCTGGATTCGCCATGAAGGCGTCTTCTGTGCGTGCTTCCTCTGCTGTGCGTAGTCCCTCGACCAGTTTTGCATACTCGCTTTGCAGCTTTTCAGCATCTGTCGTCTTCATTTCGGTGATCTTTCGATCCAGGTTGTTGACTCCTTTGGTGGCTTTCCGTAGCACGTCCTCTGTCAGGTCGATACTTAACGACTCGATACATACGTTGTCGATGTTATGGGCTTCATCGAACACCACGATGCAGTCTTTCGACAGCTCCTTGGATACGCGGTCTGCGATCTTGGGATCAAGCAAGTAGTGGTAGGAGTAGATGATGACGTTGCAGTAGGGCATCATGCGGCGCGCTGTGAAATACGGACATTGCTTTTGCTGCTCGCCGTACTTGAGCAAGCCATCGAAGGTGAAGACACCTGGTGGTATCAGATTATGAGGCTCGAGGAGGTCGAGATTATCATGGTAGACGCAGAGGTCGACGTGTTCGCCGCGCTCCTTCTTCTCTTTAACAAAGCCTGCAGTAAGACTGCGACAGCGGGCGTCGACTACGTTGCCACTCTTCTCACGCTTTACGCTTGGGTGCAAGCAGAGGTTTTTTCGACTCGTAAGACCCAGGCCGCGGAATTCCTCTTCGTAGCCCAGCTCTTGTGTGCGGTAGCTCATGAGTGCTTTCAACTCGGCTAGGGCCTTTTCAATCTCAGACATGGTACGCGAGCAGTAGATCAGCTTTCGCTTCTCTGGGTAGAATTGCTGGTAGGCTATGATGAGGGAGAGCAAAGACACAGTTTTACCCGTCCCTGACGGCATCTCCAGGACGCAGTGCCCGCCGTGGTCCAGCGTGCGTTTGAGATCACACATGTAGGCATACTGCTCTGGGTAGACCCGCGGGTACGGGAAGAGCACCGGGAGGTTACTTGGACACGTGAGCAACATGGGACAAGAATGCCGTCATGTCACGTCTGTCTCCGCAAGGAAGCAGATGGCCATTTGCAGGTCACGTGCAGAGACAGACGTGAGATTCAGAAGCAAGAACAAACAAGTGCGAGATGACTTACTCTATGAAGAACTTCATGCTGACGACCGCCCGCGCGGAAGATGTCGTGGCGATGAGGCTGGCCGTGACAGACAAAGCGCGTTGGCGCTGACGCAAACGCGCCATCACATGTTCGTCTAGCGCACGGCCGGGGTGGGAGAGGTGCCCCACTCGGCCCGCCAGCAATCGTCATCGTTTGGCGGGCGGAGGCGGCACAATCTTCGTCTGCGGGCACTACGAAGTACACGAAGTACTCGACACTCGACATTTGCTTCCCCCTGTGTCCCTGCATGCCGGCGTCGCCCCTTCCCTTTCCTTCCCCGTCCATTGCCACAGCAGCACACACAGCATGAGCAAGCGCTCGGGCAAGGCGTCGGCCAGCAGCGCACGTGCTGCGTCGACGTTTGGCAGCGCGCCCGTGCTCGGTGGGAGCTTTGGGGGCAGCAGCGCATCGCAGCTGTCGTACGTGGCCGAGCCGCCCAACCTCAGCGCGATATCGGACCCCAATGTGGTCGTGTACTTCCGCAACCTGTCGAAACGTGACAGCACCACCAAGGCGAAGGCGCTTGAGGAGGTGCAGGCATACGTCGCGGCGCTGGCGGAGCCCGTGGAGGAGGGTGTGCTGGACGCATGGGTCAGTCGCATCACGCGTCGCCGCAGACACACACACACATAGAGACCAGCCGTAGTAATGCAGCAGTCAGATCGCCGTCTACCCGCGCACCTCGATAGACAACGCCAAGGCCGTCCGCCAGCTGTCGCACACAGTCCATGGCCTGATGGCGGCATCGGCCGGCCGCCGCATCGCCCGCCACATGCCCAGCAGCGTCGCCGCCTGGCTGTGCGGGCTCTACGACAGCGACCGTGCGGTCGTCGACGCCACCCAGAAGGCGCTGCGCCTCGTCTTCGCCACGCCTGACAAGCTGCAGAACATCCGCAAGGCCTACCAGCAGCCCATCCTCGAGTACTGCCGCGACGCCGTCACCAAGGAGACCGTCGCCACCCTGAGTGACGAGCGCACCGTCGGCCCAGACGATGCCCAGGCCAAGTACAGCCGCGTCGTGTCCGCCTGCGTCGCCCTGCTGGGCAGTCTGCTGGCGAACCTGGCACCTGAGGAGATCGCCCGCTTCCAGCCCGACTACGACGCCCTGCTGGCCGACAGGAAGCTGTGGGACTTTTCCTCGCACCCGGACGTCGCCATACGGCGCTCGCTGCACCGCCTGCTGAAGACGTGCCTCGCCAAGCAGCCCGCCGCAGTCAGCGCGAACCTCGAGACCATCGCCAAGGCCTACCTCTCCGTCGCCCTCAACTCCGACCAGACTGGCTCCGCGTACGACTACATCGAAGCCCTCATCCAGCTGACGGCCGCCCACCCGACCGCATGGACCGAGCACTACAAGAGCAAGACGGCCGTGGACCGCCGGCTCCGGCAGTTCCTGAAGAAGGGCTCGCAGTTTGGCCCACAGGAATACTGGAGCCGTCTGGTCGACCTGTTCAAGGCACTTCCTGCAGACGTTCTGCCCGCCCACGCCGCCGATGCTGCAGAGCTGCTCAACGCCCTCCAGGCCGGCATCACCAGCAAGAACGAGGCCAAGTACAGCCAAGACGCGGCATACACTGCGTACTTGGACATCCTGGCGCTGGTCAGCACTCGCTTATCAGAGGGTGACACAGTGACATTCATCCAGGAAATGGCCTTGCCCATCATCAGCCAGTATCTGCGCCCCTCGGTGGAGACGTCACAATGGAGCCTGCCCTCGAGCGCGAGCGGCCTTCTGGCCAAGGCGTTGGATGTAGATGGCGTTGCAGTTGCACTGTCTGGACAGTGGCCGCAGTATGCGCAGCGCTTGGTTGATGACATCAAGACATCTGCGCCAGAGCAGTCGAAAGACTACGACAAGTCTCAGACAGCCGTACTGCAGCACGGCACACGATATGCCACGTTGCAAGAACAGGCCCTCAGAGTTGGCGCGACATCGCCGTTGACGCAGTCCATCAAGACCGCCGAGTCATCCATCTTTGACGAAGCTCTTGCGGTCGTCAAGAACAGGAACGGAAAGCCATACGGTGCTGCGGGCACAATCGCCGCACTCTTGTCTTGTAACGAGCAGCCTCCTAGCGATACTACCGTCCAGCAGCTTGAGCACTTTGTACAGGAAGATTTGCCCGCCATCGTCCTATCACCGTCCTCAACATATCTGGTTGATATTCTGTACTCCTTCTCAGAATCGGCAGTCTTCAAGGGCGCGTGGAGCGCGTCACTTAAGACGGTTTTGAAAGCAGACGACTCCTCGGTCAAGACTAAGGCGCTCGAAGCGCTACTCACATCCTCCAAGATCCCAGCATCTTTCGATCTCGCCACGTCTGATGCCGAGCTACAGAGCTTCGTCAAGTCCAGTGTCCACGATGCCGTAGAGGGCTCGCTGGAGTGGGACTCCTTTACGCGCATTCTTCAGTCACAAGCTAAGATATTGGCCCCAGAGACCACCGACCATATCCTCGCCTACTTGACACAGTCGCTATCCATATTGCAGCATGCGCCTTACTCGCTGCAAGGCCTGCGCCATATCGTAAAATCCAATTCGTCCATGCTGCGAGAGTATGCCGCTACACCAAAGGGCGGAGAACTTCTCCAAGCTTTGTTGCGTGCGTCCGAGTCTGCCAACGACGAGATTGCACAAGGTGCAGCGACTGTCAGCGCATCGATTCAAACAGTCTTGGCATCCGATGCCGGCACGCAACACTCGATACACGATCTCATCCACCATGGCCTACGAGAGGCAACGCCATCTTCAGTGTCGGTCGAGACCTTGGTGGAGCTGGCCGAGAAGTCATTGAAGCGCGCCGAGGTCTGGGAAGAAAACGCGAACCTGTTCCCTAGCATCGACGACTGGAACTTGGCTCTGGCGCCATTCCTTGATTCTGCCCCCAGATCCGCGCTTGCCATCGCCAACAGCCTTTATGGAGCGGTCTATCTCGTTGACCCAGCCGTAGCATCTGCTGCTGTCCAAAAGATGAGCCGTGATTCGGACGGCTACTCTGCAGCATATCGCATCGCACAATACGTCGCTAAATTGTCGCGAATCCCTCATTTCAGGGTACAGACTGCACCACTTGAGGTGCGCGATGCATACTTGCGTAACATTGCTCTCACTGTTCAGCTCGTCAATGACAACCTCGGTCTTGCCGGAGCGAATGGGCTCTGGACCGATTACAACACTGATACCGAGAACGATGCAATGTCGTTCAAGTCTGATGCTGCAGGCTTCACTACGCAAGAATTGACGGGTGTCCACGGGTCGATGTCTTCGTTGGCAAAAAGTCCAAACGAGGAAAACGCCTTGTTGACCTGGGCTCAAGGCCTCCTCGGCCAGATCGACGCTGGGTCCTCGACCCAAGCGTACTATCACGCACGCGCCTACAGTTCTCTGGTATCAACAGCCATCATGTTCCATGGCTGGAAGAGCTCATGGACCACTTCAGTGCAGGAAAGCCTGAAGATCGTTCGGAAGACCAAACAGACCATTCCTCTCCTGGCATATCTCACTGCCTTTGACGAGCCACTTGCTGCGTCAAAGTCTTGCGAGCGTATGTGCAACGAAATTATCGCGGACCTCACCGGCCTTGACATCGATCTGAAGCCGCAAGAAGGGTTGAGTCAACTGGTCGTTCTCAACACAGTACTTGCCCAGGACGGCATCACGGAGAGCATCGCCAAGCAGCGTCTTGTCTTCTTCGTTAAGCATGTCGTGCCGTGGCTGGACCCTGCCCACGGATCAGTGGAGATCAGGGCTGAGGTCTGCCGCGCATTGACCGCTCTACTGCCGTTGATGAGTGACATGTATGGCGAACATTGGGGGGATATCCTCAATGCGCTTTCATCAGCATGGTCAGGCACGACTGAGCTGCAAAGCACTGAAGCCGAAGCAAGCAGCCCCATCCCGTTCATACACGCCTCCCTGAAGCTATACGAGCAGCTTCGCAGACTCACCGAGGGGGAAGAACCGAACGACGACCTCCTGGAGGGCTGGAACGAGTCGGAGCAGCCAGTAGCGGCAGGGCTGATCAATCTACTCAAGCACTCGCAGCACTTTCCGGATGAATTTCACCAACCTTTGAAGATGGTCAATGAGGTCCTCGCGCGCCAGATTGCCAAAGTACCATTGAAGCACCTCGACTCTGCGGAAGAGCTTTACCCACTGCTGTACGTAGAATCACAGCCCGTCCAGCAGACTGCTTTCGATATCTTGCACAAACAGATACCAGCTGCGCAAGAGCAGATCTCAATCGATGCAGCATTGTCGAAGACTACAGCCCGTTTGCCTGAAGAGCTCCTCTCGTTGATCATTGAGGCGCCCACAGTTGCCGCACTAGCCGAGGTCAACTTCGATCGTGCTGTTCCACTCTCTTTGAGAGGATATCTCCTCAGTTGGTTGCTTGTCTTCGACCACCTCGAGCATGCATCCTTCAAAGTCAAGAATGACTACATCGACCATATCAAAGAAGGCGATCATCTCCCCGGTCTTCTCGATTTCACATTCGACTTCCTCGGCCACGCACACAATAAGCCGGTTGACGTATCCAAGCTCGACGTCACAACCTACACTCCCACCACCGAGTTACCAAAGCAAGATACCCAATATTTACTCACACATCTCTACTATCTTACACTCCTTCATACGCCCTCACTCACAAAGTCCTGGTTCAATGCGCTGACCAACAAGTCCCGCGCCGTTGCCGTCACCCTCGAACCATGGACCGAGAAAAATATCTCGCCGCCCGTCATCAACGCAGCGCTCGAGAGCGTAACAGCCTGGGCCGGCACAGAGACGGACGACACGTTCACCGTCAGGGTTGCGCCGCGCGCCCGCGAGATCACCGCTTCATACATCCTCGACGAGCAGACAATGTCGATGCGCATCGCGCTCCCTCCGGCCTTCCCGCTGGCCAACGCACACATCGAGGGCCTGAACCGCGTGGCAGTCAACGAGCAGAAGTGGCAATCGTGGCTGCGCACCTCGCTCGGCGCCATTACCATCTTTAACGGTAGCTTGATTGACGCCCTGTCGACGTGGCGTCGGAACGTTGAGGGTGCGCTCAAGGGTCAGACCGAGTGCGCGATCTGCTACAGCATAGTCGGGCCGGACAGGAAGGTGCCGGACAAGAGGTGTGGAACTTGTAAGAATGCGTTCCATGGCGCGTGTTTGTTTAAGTGGTTTAAGAGCAGTGGCAGCAGTAGCTGTCCGCTTTGTAGGAATCCGTTCAACTACGGTTGAGTGGGTGCGAGCTAAAGACTCCCCGATGTGCTTGAACGTACACTCCTGATCTAGCGTACATAGCAGTCAATCGGATTTTGAAATAGTTACCCTTGAGCCTTGGTAGGGGCTGATTGTCGTGTTCCTCTTTTTCACGTCGTCCAGCGAATGCTAGCTCCTTATGCACGTCTTCACTGGTCCGAATACTTCGTTTTGATCGCACTGACTAGGCAATTTGCAGAGGACTAGCAGATTGTCCTTCCTCCAGCGTCTCTACACCGGTTCGCATGTCGGAAATTCTCTGCTCAGAGCAAGAGAGCGTTGCGAATAAGAAAGAAGTACAAGACTGTAACGAGCGACGTGCCTCCACACTCCACGAGAAGGCGTGGCGACCGCGTCTCGGACCATCCCTACCTGCGCAGCATAACACACACGAGGCAAATCTGGACGACAAGTGAGATTATATCATCAAATAGCCTTGCTGCCGGAGGTGCATGAGACGGCGCATTCGGTCCTCCCACTGCCGCACCATGTTGCTTCGCCGAAGCCGAAGCTGCTCCTGCATGTCATGCTTGACCCAGGAGGCGCGAGACCCAGCCCCTTGACGGTGCTGCGTACCGTGCTCGACGATCGGTCTGAAGGACCAAATGTGGCGTGCAAGTACACCTGGTCCAGATCAAACATCTTAGGTCCAGCAAGGCCTTATAGAATGCTTTGCAAGACGCAACTGCTTCCAGAACTGTTGCGCATTGCGGAACAGTTGGGTAGAAGAGCCAAGAAGTATGCATAGAGCGGCAAGATCTTAGAGTTGAGCATGATCTCCTTGGTTCGCGATCTGAAGCAAGACTATTTCAGCTCGCTGTCATTAATTGAGATCAAAGCTCGTCCAGACCTGATGATGGCTTGCAGAAGACTGCGTTGGGGAACGGAATTTAGCCCTGAAAAGCTCAAAGCGGTTGAAACGAACGTCAAATCCGCTGACCTTCTTGATTGTAAGCATATCACCAGCATGATCGGAGGGTGTCAGAAAAGCTCGGCTGAGGGGCTGCAAACGATCTACGTGCTTTTACATCCGACATGGAACTGTTCCCTGTATATCTCCCCATCTAGGTACTCCAGAGGATCCATACCTGATAACAGAAGGTGGTTACGCAGTTGCTTCAATTGAGCAGCATCAGCAATCAAGTACACGCGTTTCAAAGACATCATGCATGGGGACATCAGCGCTGTCAAGCTTGTTCTGATGAACGAAGGGATATATCTGATCTCTTTTGAGTAACCCCGTATGTTCACACCAGGCATTGAACACAAGTCTCCGAAAGCTCAAGGCTGTCCATCAGCCGTAACATGGAACCAATGGCGACATATTTTCCCTTGGAGTCGTCTATCTTCAACTTCTCACCATGACTTACGTTGAATCGCTCGAAGCTCTCGAAGATATTCTAGAAGAGAATCCTGGTCGATTTGCGCCTACCCTTCTAGTAGCCTCAAAAAGATAGCTTAGTAATCTACCTAAGAAGGCACCGCGCAGACATTCGAGGAGTACCGTCGACGTATATCACGATTGCGTACAGGGCATGCTTCTGGCACCATGTCTGAGCGACCTATAGTATCAAGGTTCTGTCAATCTCGACGGACAACTGGGTAACGTCAGCAGAGTGCGGATCTGACTGTGCGAAGCAGTCACTGCCAGTCAGTAATCTACAACAACAAAGCTGAGAATCTGCGGTCGTCGTATACCTGGGACGAAAAGAACATCTTAGTACTCTACAGACAATGCCAATATATCGAAACACGCATAGCGTTTAATCCTGATGTCAGCATCCGGATCAGCATTCCACCAATAGGGTTTTGAATCCTCCACCATGGTCCATTGGGTTCTCACTTGCCTTGTTTCCTGTAATTCGAGGATTTCGGGTAGTGCGCAGCGACTGCGCATACGAAAGCTACGCTCTACCTAGAGGCGTTCGAGAAAGACCAAAGGACTAGATGATTCGGCTGTGGGACCGCTACCAGTGGATACCTACTGCACTACCTACACATCTAAACCGCCCGGGCTGCGATTTGGTCAAGGTACCCGAGAATAATGGCCTCGAATGTCATCGCCAGCCTCACCCGTGGTACAATATCTTTAGAACCAACGTTCGAGAAGGACGCCGGCGAATCTAGGCAGTGCAGCTGCGATCTCTGGTTGGCTGACTGAGCATTGCCAAGCGCAGCTGTGTCAGCGCTAGGTAGGGTAGGTAGGCGATACGATCTCGGGTCGCGAAATCGTGAACTTAGAATGAACGAGATGGCGCGTGCGCATGGAGTTGTGGATGGCAACAGCCACCACACGCTACCACGGGAGACAGCAACTGCACGAATAGCAGAACGCGTCGTCTGAATTTTTGACTCACCTTCTGTTGGAGCAAAAGATTTCTCTTACTCCACAAACTATTAGGTAGATACTGCGACACCCTGTCTTTCCACCTGCTGCCTTCCATAACGATCGTCCGCGTCACCAACCGAAGAACACTTATTGTCGACATCACGAGAGCCATCGGGTCGATAGTCAAAGCACGCAGTCCGGCTGTTTGACGAGGAGAATACGACCAGGGGCAGTGTAAGATTACGAGTGCCAAGCCGTAAGGCTGTGAGAACTCAAATCCTACACGATGTCAAACTAGACTAGCGCATGCATTAGCCGGCATTTCGATAAAACGTACCTGTGCTCACAGACTTGCCTCAAGGCATATAGACAGCTCAGCATGTCGCGGTTGAAAAGGAGAAACCAGGCTCTCGACATCTTGTTGATTTCCAGATTGGTTAGTATGATCTATGATTGAACCCGACAACTGTCGTACGAGACTAACAAATGCGACTGCAGACACAGCTATTACAGTCGAATATTCCGGCTGATTAGCCTGTCACGATGCGCTCATTCGCTTTCCTTCTGGCCTTACAGGTGGCAGCTGCAGCCACGATTACTGTTGACAGCTTCCAAAGCGGTAATTCTGGAACAAATGCGATCGATCTGAACAACGCGACTTTCTGGCATTCTCAATACCAGCCAGCAGTCGCTCTTCCTCACGTGGCCACGCTCGACTTGGGCATCGCTACCTGGATCAACGGTTTCACATATCTGCCCCGGCAAGACGTCCGACCTGATTGCACCACTTGCAAGCTCAATGGAAACATTGGGCGTCATGACATTCAGATCAGCGTCGACAATGCTAGATGGACGACGGTCGTTTCCCAAACTACATACGCCGACACTGCTGCGTTGAAGACGGAGACATTCGCCGCAGTCAATGCTCGATACGTCCGCATTACCGCATTCACAGAAGCCGGGAACCGCGGCCCGTGGACTAGCGCTGCAGAGCTCGGTGTGTTACTGAGAGGTAATACGGTCAGTAGTGCCGGCAGTAGCAGCAGCAGCATCCGTACCAGCAGCAGCAGCCCGAGCCCCACTATTCTAGCCTCAAGCAGTTCCGTCTCGCCTGATACAGCCCCAGCGAGAACGATCTCGGCAACAGTTAGATCAATTGCTGTCAACTGTGCTCAATCAGGTTCTGAGGGATCCAAAGCAATCGATGGCGATAGAGGGACCATCTGGCACAGTCAGTGGAGTCCAGAGATCAGACTGCCCCACAATGCCGTCCTCGATCTGGGAACGACTCAACAGGTGACTGGGATTACTTATCTACCTCGTCAAGATGTTCCGACGGGTGGAAAAATAAACGGAAACTTCGGTTCCCACACGATCGAGACGAGTACCGATAATCTCAACTGGATCGTCGCTGCAAGAAGTACCTTCGTAGACGATGCTACTCTCAAAAGAGAGACCTTCCCTGCCGTCTCCGCTCGCTACGTCAGAGTCACTGTGTTGACAGAAGCCGGTAATCGCGGACAGTGGGCCAGTGCTGCCGAGCTTGGAGTTTTGGTTGTGTCCAATGCGGTAGTCGATTTTTCAAGCACTGGAAAGTGGAGTTCTGTTATTCAACTACCTCTGGTGGCTGCTGGAGCGTTCATGATTCCTGAAAGCGGAAAAGTTCTGATCTTCTCCGCTTCTGGCCGTACCGACTTTGAATCTGCCAAAGGATACACACAGACCTCCACCTACGACCCAAAAACCGGAGCTGTGACAGAGCGCGAGGTGCGAAATACCGGACACGATATGTTCTGCCCCGGCCTGTCCCTGGATTTTAATGGCCGCGCAATAGTCACTGGTGGAAACGACAACTTCCCGACCAGCATCTACACACCATTGACAGACGTCTGGACCAGAGCAGCTGACATGAAGCTCAAGCGTGGCTATCAATCTTCGACGACTCTCTCTAATGGCCAGGTCTTCCAGATCGGAGGCTCTTGGGTACCTGGAGCACTGCGCGGCGGCAAGAACGGAGAGATCTACAACCCGGCCACCAACACCTGGACTCTATTGCCCGGTTGCCCTGTCGCGCCGATGTTGACGAATGACGCCCAAGGAATCTTCAGATCAGATAACCATGGCTGGCTGTTTGCATGGAAGGATGCTACCGTGTTTCAAGCCGGCCCGAGCAGGGCCATGAATTGGTATGGCACGTCTGGGAGCGGTAGCCAGACTGGAGTAGGAAACAGAGCAGCGGACGCGGACTCAATGTGTGGCACTGCGGTCATGTACGATGCTCTCAATGGCAAGATTTTCACCGCTGGCGGCTCGCCAAACTACGAACTATCAGATGCCACCACCAACGTCCATCTCATCACTATCGGCAATCCTGGAAGCGCACCTTCAGTCACCAAGACCACTTCGATGACGTACGCAAGAGCGTTCCACAACAGTGTGGTTCTGCCCGATGGTAAAATCTTCACCACTGGCGGTCAGTCCTACTCTCGACCTTTCTCCGACGCAACCGCCATCATGCAGCCTGAGATGTGGGATCCAGAGTCTCAGAACTTTACCATTCTTCCGAGCCACGAGATTCCTCGCACTTATCACAGCATTGCCCTACTCCTCCTTGACGGGACAGTTTTCACCGGCGGTGGTGGACTGTGTGGAGGATGTAGAACCAATCATCTCGACGCTGAAATCTTCAGCCCTGGGTACTTATTCAATCCAAATGGCACTGCAGCAAGACGGCCGGTCATCAGCACCCTGTCGGCCTCCACAACTGCCGTTGGTTCAAGCCTGACAGTAACGACCGATACGGCTGTCACGAAGTTCTCGCTCGTCCGCTACGGATCTACTACACACACAGTCAATACAGACCAACGTCGTATTCCTCTTGACGCTGTGTCTGGCACTGGAAACACATACACTGTAACCATTCCGCGAGACCCGGGGATTGCGCTGCCAGGTTACTGGATGTTGTTTGCGCTCAACTCGGCAGGCGTACCTAGTGTCGCCAAGACGGTCAAGATTACTCTATGATCTTCACCTACCCGCTACAGGATGCTACTCATCATATCAAAGCTTTCAGTTACTGCAAGCTGCGTCTGTTTAGGTATTTTCTACATAATTTTACTAGGTCTACCTATCCTTATTGCTGTGATACTTTATGTAACGTACCTGACGCGTGAGTTGCCCAGACGGGTGAGTCGCCCACTCTGCCAAGGCTCCACCAAAACGCGACCCTATTTTGGCACACAACACCCCATTATAGGCCTGCAAATAGTAATTTAACATGTTACAGTAACGTACCTCACGGGCGAGTGGCCGGCCCGGGCGAGTGACCGGATTTTGCCAAGACCACACCAAACTTCAACTTCTCTTGCATATTACAGCAAGTTACTGCAAGTTACTGTAACTTACACTATACAGCACTAATCTACAGTATCTTGCGCATCTTTTATACACGTTTGCGCGTTGTGCCCTGCCTTACTACACCTGCTACAGTGTTATAAAGACTAAGTGCCTAGTTTAACGCGCCTCTTCTTGCTTGCCTTCTTCCTATTATTACAGGCTTTAAACTCCTTTAGGGTAGTTAAGCGCACTCCTTTACTAACAGTAAGAGTCCCCTCCCTCTAGATCTGCTTCCTCTTGTGTGATTTACAGCGTGTAGCAGCCTCATTAGCAGCTTAAAGCTCTGCGACCTAGTTGCGCACTAAAACTAGTGAATGCGCCATTATCTCTGCGCCCTTAGTGAGCTAATTAAGAGCATTAACTATTAAAGTTAGAGAGCTATTGCTATGTTATTAAATCCTCTCTTTAATAAGCTTTAATTGCAACCTAAATTCTAGGGTGTTCTGTAGGGTTTAAGAGTGCCACGTACTCTTATCTATAGTAGGTAGTGGTAGAGTACATAGGCGCACTTTAAGCTTTAATATTACAGCCTCTAGATTAAAGGGGACCAAGCTAGCACCTCTAAATCCTCCCTAGATATTACTCCTAGTAATAGAGGCATTAAAAGCTCCTTTAAAGCATGGTAAAAACTCAAGTTTTGTGATGCAAGTAATCTTGTTGCGCATTAGCAGCTTAGCTTGGCGACTATAGGCCTTCTTTATTAGGGCAAAACAACCTACGTCAAGCAGCTACAACAGGTGCGATAAGTGTAGAGGTATACACAAGGTAACAATCTTGTGTTCTTTATAGTACTAGTAGAACTTAACTAAATTGTGGCTCTTATAGCTGTCTAGAATAAGCAGCTAATAGCTGCCAACAGTGCGCTCCTTTGTGTGCTTATTAAAGTGCTTCAGCTACTTAATACTAAGCTTGTTATTAGTCTAGCTATTCTTAGAGATAGTAATAACCTAGTTGTAAGGTAAAGACAGCTCCTTATACTAGGCAGAGAGGTGGTGCTTGCCTTTAAAGATAATAAAGGGTAGGATACTATATCCTAACACGTTAATACCCTAGATAATACTAGTCCACTCTTAGTTGCCCTGCTATACTGTCTTTAGTCTTCTACAACGCTCTAAGCCTGTAACAACAGCTTCTATTAATATAACACCTATTATAAACCTAGACTTGTTAAAATTATAGGTGTCTTTATCTAGGATACTATACTTAGCTTTAGTATTCTCTACTAGGTAGAACTAGCCCTAGATCACCTTAGGATCCTTGCAGAGGGCTCTCTTGTAGTCGTACTTTTAATTAAACTTGACTGTGAGCTCTGGGCGACGCTTAACGAACGTGCTAGCCTAGTTCTTGCCAACAGGAGGCTAGTGGCGCTCAGTGAGTAGAGAGTTGGCCATATCCTCCACATCAGTAAGCCTAGGTAGGTATCCTCGCTCGTCCAGCTTCAGAACATGCTGCACAATCACCTCCTCTTTAGTGCTTGTTAGCTTTATTAAGTTAACCTTACAATTGCGTCTTAAGAGCGTTCTAGCACATTGTTGTCTTAGCGTTCTTTCTAACACCTTGTAGATTGTTACAGCGTGTGGAATAGTAAGAGTTATAACTTGTTTAAGAGCCTAGATTATAAGCTGTATATCTAGTTCCTTTAAGACACTTTAAGCCTTTTTGCGTTAAGACATTGCGGGTTGTATGAAGTTTGGTGTGGTCTTGGCAAAATCCGGTCACTCGCCCGGGCCGGCCACTCGCCCGTGAGGTACGTTATAGAAGAGCTAACGTTCTTTACAAGCGAGTGACGCGTACCGTGGCCGTGCACCCGATGAGCCAGTTCAGCTAATGAGCCACCCCAACAAGATATTAACATTAGAAAAATGAAGCTGTAGAGCCACACCTAAAAGATGTTATTGTAAGAAATGCTAACGTACTCTATCACCAAGCTGGTCATATCACTGAACTAGTTAAAATCTGCCAAGACTAACACAACTCCGCACTTTATAGTATGTCTTAACAATATTACAACTTATTGCTTTAATACAAAGGGAGACTGCAGCTTGCTCTCTAGGCCTATAATACTGGACAGTTTCAGAGCTATCAGGCTGCTGCTGCTGCGTTTAACGTTGTCAGATTCTCGTACTGTTGTCAGAGTATAAACTCAACAAGATCGTGGTGTAACGACGCAGGCAAGAAGAGAGATATCCGGAATAGGTGTGAATCCGCTACGAGGCATATGGGAGTGCTGGGATGATAAGAACACCAGGATATATTCTCTACACCTATAGGTCTTGTACAAAAGGATATAGAAAAACTACTCTACAAAGCTACAGTTCCTTGCTCCTTATATATAAGTGTTTAGTAGTAGTTTAGTGTAAGCTTATGCTATGTAGCAAGGGCCATGGTCATAAGTTGCTAGAACTGTATCCTAGTAGTATTAGGTCACTGTTTATAGAGCGTTGTTACACTATCCCCCTCCTTGTAGACAGATAGTCCTATATCTATAACTTAGGCTTAAAACAGAACGTATACAGACATAGTAAGTAAAAGGGAATTAGTAGTAGGTAACATGAACCTACTTTCACTTTGTGTTGTTATATAACGTACTCCACGGGTGAGTCGTTCATACGGGTGAGTCGTTCATACTGCCAAGACCACACCAAAACTCCACCCTATTATGGCTTGCATTGGCCTACTTTGGCCTTGTATACACTAGTACAGCATGTAATATTATTTAGCAACAGCTTCTACAGGCTTTTTACACGTGCGCAAGTTATGCCCTACCTTATAACACTGTTTACAGTGTCTTTAGGTTGCCTTACCTCCTTTAACACGCGCTTACTTCCCTGCCTTCTTACTATTACTACACGCCCTAAACTTATTTAGAGTAGTTAATTAAAGGCCTTCCTTAGCTGTTAGGACC